ACGAGTGGAAATGAAAAAACATATCAATGGTTTTTATATTTGGATTATCATGATCAAAATATGGAGCTAATGGTATTTAGATCATTATGGATCAATTAACCAAATCAGCTCGGTTTTTGGTAATTAAGTCAACATATTTCATGCAACATTATGTAGAATTATATTTAAAAGTTATAAGGTTGTATGGAATTCCAATATTGATCGTATCTCATCGAGATCTATAGTTCACATCACGATTTTAGAAAAATTTATGTGAGGTGATAGGAACTAAATTAAGCTTTAGCACTAACTTCCACCCATAAAGTGATGGATAGATAGAAAGGGTGAACCAAATATTAAAGGATATGTTACGGGCTTGTATGCTTGAACAAGTATGCAAATTAGGAATGATACCTATCATTAGCCAAATTCACCTACAATAATAGTTATCAAGTAAGCATTAGTATGGCACCATATGAAGCTTTATTGATCGGAGATGTTGATCGTCTATACACTCGGGATGATGTAGACGAAAGAAAATTATTGAGACTAGAGTTAATTCAGCAAATAGCTAACATGGTGCAATGAATTAGAAAAAGAATGAAAACAATTCAAAGTCTGGTAAAAAAGTTATCCTAATGTAAGGAGAAAGGAATTAGAATTTGAAGTTAGAAATAAGGTATTTTTGAAGGTGGCACCCATGAAAGGCATAATGAGGTTTGGGAGAAAAGAAAAGTTAAGTGTGAGGTATTTTTGATCATATGAAATACTATAGAAAATCGATGACAGAGCATACAGATTAGCATTACCACCTTCTCTTTCCTTAATTCATAATGTATCAATGTGTCCATACTTCAAAAATATGTTGAGAACCCAAAACCATATACTAAATAATGAGCCATTAGACCTCCATCCTAACATGAGTTATAAAGAAGGACTAATATAGGTGTTGGACCGAAAGGCCGGACAATTACAAAATAAAGAGGTTCCTTTAGTAAAAATATTATGAAGGAACTATAATATTAAAGAAGTAACATGGGAAAGAGAGGTAGAAATGTTAGCTAGATATACTAAATTATTTAGGTAGAAATTTTAAGAATAAAATTTTAATAAGGAGGAGAGTGTGTAATACCTCGAACCTATGAATAAATGAAATAATATATTTTAAATGTGTATAAAAATTATTCTATGAGTATAGTATAATTATTAGAGGGGTGCTAAAATATTTAGTGCACTTGAGATAATTTTTTTATGCTTGGTGAATATTTAATTGGCTTCTTTATACGTGAATAATGCCTTTTATGTAAAATAATTATTTTGAGTATTTTAAATATGTATGAATGTAATAAATAGAAGTAAAAAAAAAAAAAAAGGGATGGGTATAAAAGGAGGGGGCAACTCCTAGCCCTCTATTTTTTCTCCTTCTTTCTCCCTCTCTCACACATTTTCTTTCCAAATATTTCATCCCATTTCTCTTTTTAATTTCTAAGCTAAAATCTTGTTAAATTAGCTTAGAGAAACTTTAAATTAGTTGATTTAAATAGAGTTTAGCTAGCTTGAAGCTTGGAAAGCTTGGAGAGCTAGGATTGATTTGAGATTTAAGGAGCCTAGTGTAAAGGTAAGAATTTTGATTCATTGATCCTTGAATTGAGAAGTTTATATATGATTAATGATGATATTGAAATGCAATTGCTTTAGGTTTGTTGATTACTTGAGAAATTGTTTAGGTTAAGGTTAGAGTTTTAAGATCCATTTGGAGAAAAATGATTCTAAGTGATTATGATGGCTTGAATGATGTTTAATTATCTTGGGTAAGTGAAATACGAAGTTAATTTGAATTGGAATTAAATAAATTTGAGAAATTGAGAGGTTGAAGATGATGAATAGTAACAAATCTGAAAGTTAAGTTTTAATTGGAAAGAAAAGTGGGGAAAATGAGGAATTAAGCAATATAAATACAATTAAAGGTTAATGGAATGAGCATTGTGTAAATTGGAATAGAATTGATCATTTAATTGAATTGAGAGTTGATTGTTTAAGGAATGGGTTAAAGATTGGTAAAATAATGTGATTAAGTGATTGTTTAAAACCAATTGAAGATTATAGAATTTAGCTAGGTTTTTATTTCAAACCTTTTCAATCAATTCTATTTTTATTTGATAACTTGTATTTCTAATTTTAGAATAATTCATTGTTTGAATTATTCCTTATTATGTGGTATTGATGGATGATCCATTATTTTGTGATGTTAGATTATTCAAGGTGAGTGACTCCATCTCAACCATCTTGATTCCGTTCGGTTCTTCAAATTATATTATGAGTGGATATTATATAGTCTATTATGTTTTAAATTTCTTGATTTATTCATTCATCATACATCATTGTTTAAGAACAATTTAGAAGCATTCCATTAGAACATAGATAGGAATGGGCATCATGAATGTTGAAATGTTTTCATATCGAATGATTTGATATGAACCAAAAAGGGTTTTGATATGTGTTTTCAAACTTGAGAAAATGTTTTATAAATATGATTTTAATTATTCAAGTAATTTCTAAAAATATATGCATGGAATTTGAAATATCGATTTGAAAATATATAATTATGTTTGGTTTTTGAAAATGTTTTCGAGACCCTAGGGAATCTAGCTATTGAGAGGGTAGCCTTTGAGCTCAATGATACGAGGCTCCATCTAGCGGGAGAGGTGTAATGCTAAGTCGTGTGTCAACTAACATATAGAAACCTAGTCACGAGGGACATGACCTTTGGGTGTTTACACTCAATGATATGTTATTACCCTACGAATATATATATATATATATATATATGTATGTATGTATGTATGTATGTATATGTATGTATATGTATGTATGTATATATGTATATGTATGTATATGTATGTATGTATATATGTATATGTATGTATGTATATATGTATATGTATGTATATGTATGTATGTATATATGTATATGTATGTATGTATGTGTGTGTGTGTGTGTGTGTGCGCTTTCGTGTGATTACGATATATGTATATACAAATATGTCAACGATTTGATACAAAATGGTTTTGAATCATTTGAATTATGATATAATAAGTGTTTTTGATATGTATGTGTTTTGAAAAACTAGCATAGCATGTTAACATGAATTTGAAATTATCGACTTTAGTCCATTTTTCTCTTTTAGTATACTATATAATATCTACTCATCGAGCTATTAATTGCTCACTCCTCATTATTTTAGTTTTACAAAATATTGAAGGATTATTCATCGCTTGCTTTTGGTTGTTTGATTCAAAGTCGGCACATTAATCGTGCGACTTAATTTCTTATAAATTTCTTAAAACCTATGTTTATTTTAAATGTATTCTTAAATGATCTACGAGTTATAGCTATGGGTACTTGCATTAAGAATTAATTATGACTATGGATTAAGAAATAAAATTATGGTATTAAAGTTATAATTTGTGTTAGAGTGATATAATAATTACTAATTTAGGATAATGCAAATTGAAATGATTTTTGGTGAAATGATATTTGAGGCTTTTAGATTAGTATCTAAGGCTTGCTAGGATCGAGGTGGGCCTCACGATTCCCTCGGTCCTCACATTGATCATGGCCTACTTTTAAGGTCGTGACAAGTATTAGTATCGAGTATAGGTTATAAAGTCTAGGATAAGCTGCGAGCATAGGTTCTATTTTAATGCATATTTTTGCTTTGAATCACGTGGATCAATCTAATGGTGTGCATTTTAGTCCTTATGTTTATACTCTTGAGTTGCGTACGTGAAGTAGGATTTTATCATGCAAAAATCCCCTACATGGCTTGTTTAAATTGACACATTATCGGGTCAATTTTCCTTACAAATCGTGTCTCTTAGCTACTGTCACGTGTGGCATTTCTTCCTTCCTTGGAGCAATTTTATGTGACACACGACCTTGTCACTTTTGCTTACAAACTATGTAAATTGTTTTTGCCTATATGGCTTTCTTTTCTTTATTTGAATTGCAATTTTATTAGCTAGACACGGGGTTGTTGAACTTCTTCTACAAACCGTGTCAAATCCTTTCGTTTATGTCTCTCATCTTGACAAATACACACACCGGTGTGTTAATTTATCCTATAAACCTTGTGGAATTCTTTCTAAATGTGTCCCTCTTTGTGCTAGGACATGTACGGGTGTATGAATTTTCTAAGCATTAATGAAACATTATGTATCACCCAATTTTTATAACTTAAGTTGCATTCATGAAACATTATGAATCACCCAATTTTTACACTTAAGTTGCATTAATGAAACATTATGTATCATCCAATTTTTACAACTTAAGTTCTTATTGATTGCATAAAATGATCGGATATATCTTCTTCTTCTTTTTAAATTTATTTATTTAAATTTTATTAAAAAAAGATTAAAATAGAAAATTTAACGTAGAAATCAATCGTAAAAGGATAAATTTAAGACAAAATAGAAATAAAGAGAAGCAGTGAAAAAAAAAAAAAAGAGTAAAAAACTTATGTAACCATTAACTCAATGTACCATTAGTTCATTCCTAAAAGATACTTTCCTTGTCTTTTCGCAGAGAATAGCAAGCATAAGGAAATCACATGAAGGCTACAATTAGTTTAATTTGCCATTTCCCCTCAGGAGATGGCAGCCAATTCATAAATTTGCTAGCCTGAGGTTCTGTTATGATTCTTGACAAGCAGATAGCTGTATTGCAAACAAATGCAAGGAGAAATGGATATACAGTGGGGTGACAGGCCAAGGACAGACAGACATTTTGACCAATAGATCAGATATATTTATGCTAGCTAGGCCAGTGCTTTCTCATTGAACCAATCACATCCTTTTAGTCTTTGGTGTGGTCAGGTCTACTCTAGAGTGAGCCAATAAGTCAAGAATGTCTGCTTTAGTATCCCCACATCCACTATCATGCCCCCATAAGTCAAGCTCATTAGAATAACCTCAAAGTAATAGCAATGACTCTTCAAAGGCATTGTAATACGAGGGAAACAATGAAGACTTCGTACCTTGTTCCTCTTGTTTTACTATTTCTTTACTTCTCCATTGCCACAGGCACAGATCCTTTGGGGAATTTGTGTAGTGAAGAAAGTCATGTTACAAGTAACAAAAGCTATACATCAGCAAAAATTGATGACTTACTGGCTAAACTAGTTTCCATAGCCAGTTCAACTGGTTATGCGGCTATCTCATCTGGTCAAGACCAGGATCAAATCTATGGGCTGGCACAGTGCAGGGGTGATGTGACAAGCAAAGATTGCTCAGGATGCCTCCAAGATGCAGCTAAGCAAACCCGCCAACTTTGTCAAAACCAAACGGATGCAAGGATTTGGTATGACTACTGTTTTTTAAGGTATAACAGCAAGGATTTCATTGGAAAAGTCGACACAGCTTTTGGCATCTATTACATCAATGTTGAGAATGTAATGAATCCTGAAGATTTTAACAGAAACCTAGGAGCGTTGATGAATAAGATCAGATCAGAAGCAGTTGTGGCAAAGAATGAAGGGCTTGGCAAAGGAAAGACCGAATTGTCAACTTTTGTGACGCTTTATGCTTTGGTACAATGTACAAGGGACTTGGCCTCAGTGGATTGTGCTCAGTGCTTAGCTATTGCAGTCAGGAATTTTCCAAACTTCTGCAACAACAGGAAGGGCTGTAGGGTACTGTATAGTAGTTGTTATGTCCGATATGAGCTCTACCCATTTTTCTACCCTCTTGATTCAAGCAACTCCTTGACTAGTAATCGTACTTCAGTAGCAATAATTTATCCATAAAATTTCAAATCCGAGTCTGTCATGCTAGAAATGGGTTTCTGTCAGGAAACAGAATGAAGGAATGACTGTTAGCAGAATTCCATCTTCAGTATGTTTGTCACCAATCAATTAGCAAGTTGATGATAGCATGATTAGATTAGTTTATTGGAGCGATTATAAAATTGTAATTAGCTTAGTTGTACCCTTGATATACAATAAAGAACTCGTTTGGTTAATTAATAAAGGGTAAACCACATTTTCAAGCTGTGTATTTTATGGGATCCGTAAATAGATGTTGATATATTGATTTACCCATAATACAAAAGGCTATAAAATCATCTTTATACTTATTTATATTAAAAAAAGAAAAAAGAAAAAGAAAAACCTTTCATGGTATCAGAGCAGGAATCCATCCTAAGGCTTAGTATTTTCTCAATCTCATAAAATTAAGGTATTTTTTCTCTTCGTTTTTCTTTTGCAAAATTCTCTTCTTGTTTTTTTCTTTCTTCCTTTTCTACGCCTATATGGCTTCCTCTTCTACTATGTTTCCTCTCCAACTGCACATCTCTTATTATGTTTATGAATGGGTTTACTCCTCATTTGATCTTTGTATAGTTCAAATTTCTTTTATTGAGACCATTTAAGATTTTTTAGGTTGATAGAAATCATCTACTCTTGTAAATTTGTTAATTCGGATCATATGTTATAACGCTCGTTAAATATTCATCTTACATATCAAGTTAAAATTAACGATATCCATTTAAGTATGGACACGTGGCGATATGAGGCTCAATTGCTTTACTATACTTTGGAACTAAAAAAGAAGCTTTAAAATAATTTTAATAAAAAAAAAATCAGATTTTTAAAAATATGGGAAAAGATCACACTACCCCACCCCCATTAATCCTAAACTAAATCAAAAAACAAAAGAGACACTCGTTGTTTCTCTCTTTATTCGCTTCATCTTCTTCTTGCCCAATAGTAAAAAAAAAAAAAAAAAAAAGCCTAATGTCCGAATCAATTTTAATCTAAAAATTAGTATATTCAATTAGTGAAGGACGATATTGATTGTATACATGACTATCCATCCCCTTCTTTCATTATCATCCCCCTCCCCCTTTTTTTTTTTTTTTTGGTTTAAATCGAGTAAACAATCTCAAAACTTTTCAAATGTTTTTAAGTTGTCGAGTTTTTGATGGAATTGTATACGATTTTGGTCAATATTGTTGTTTATTGAATAAGTTTAGGGGTTGTTTATGTTTTTTTTATTTATTTATTTGATATGAAATTAGATAAACAATTTTGAAATTTTTTGAATGTTTTTAAGTTTTCGAGTTTTTGATGGACTTGTATATGGATTGTGTCAATATTAGTGTTTATTGAATAAGTTTTGTATCTATTTATGTTTTTTTAATATGAAATTGGGTAAACAATCTCAATTTTTTTGAATTTTTTGAAGTCTGTCAGTTTTGTTTGGCTTGTGAAATTGTATACGGATATTGTCAATATTGTTGTTTATTGAATGACTTTGTATTTATTTATGTTATTTTGTACATTTAATATGAAATTGGGTATGTGGTCCTACATAACATTTTGAGATTCACTAATTTTTGCTTTTTTTTATTTGCTTTTATGTCTCCTTAATGGTTGTATCGAGTGCGATATCTAGATTATGGCTTCACTTTAGGATTGAATTACAAAGAAGGCATAGTTTGTTTTTAAGTGAAGGAGGGGTCATTGAGAGAGAAAAAATATAGACCCCGACTTAATACGAGTTTAAAAGACTATTAGATATGGCTGAGGAACATGGCTATGAAAAGTGTAAGACTCGTGTATTATAGGAATATTGACCCTAAATTAAGTTTTGAACGAGTCTTAAGGAAGTGAAGGATAATGTTAGTTGTTTACTGTCATTAATATGTTGTGTGATGCAATAGTTGTAGACTTACATTATGAGAAAAGTGATTCGAGTACACCACTTTATTTGGTTATGATGACTCAAAAGATGTAAGTAGTAGGCTTGGAATCAATGAATATGGCCAGTGGATGGCCGGTGGGTTGATATGCCTAGTTATGAGCAAGAAGTTAAAGATGTAATTAAAGATATAAATGTGTCTAGTGTTATGGATACTACTATCCATATAGGTAAGGGTTCTATTGTCATGAAACAAGATATGGGTAGTATTGTCCATATAGGTGGGCATGGTGTTGTGAATATTGGTGAGGGTAGTAGTGTTCACTTAAGCGATACCGAACATGGTCGGTGTATGAGAATATGTGAGGGTAGTTAGAATATCTATAAAGAGATTGTGGTGGAGTCAAATGAGGAGCCATATGATGATGTTAAAGATACTGAATAGTAGGTGGATTTACGATGGTCTGTAACATGATGAGGAAGCAAAAGAAGTTAAAGAAAAAGTTAAAAAGATAAAAGCGATCTCGGGTAAAGTTAATTTTCATTATAGAGGAAACTATAAAGGAAAATATTGGAGGGAAATATGAAAGGAACTATGAGGGGAAAATGAAAAAAAAATGAGGGAGTAAAAATGAATAATTTTAAGAGAGAAGGAAATTAAAAGAAGAGTTGGCAAAACTAGAAGTCTGAATTGAATAAGAAATACGAGCAATTTAGAAGAAAAAGAGGAATACATATCCAACGGTGATGAGCAACATAAGATTAGGAAAAGAACTAGATTGGTTAGGTATGACCCAACAACTAATGTTTTTTATTTTTAGTTTTTCATGATTTTTTAGAATAAGAAGGAAGTGAAAGTCTGTTATGATTAAGTATGACATTCATTGTTAGGGAGATTTGAAGCTTGTTAAGAATGATAGTATAGATATAAGACAATTTACAAAGATGAATGTTGTCCTTAGAAGCTATTGATTTTTGTTGATGGAAAAAGAAAAAAATGGATGGTGAATACCTATTATAATAAGCACACATGTGATTGGTCTTTCACAAATTATAAGGTTAGTTACAAGGTACTTGCATAGCATTTTATGAAAAGGTTTGAAAGAAATGTATTGAATAAGAAGTTGCATGAGATTGTACAAGAAACTATAACAAATCTACAATTATAGATTACAATTTCACAAATCAAACATCCCAAGAATTTAAGAAATCAATGTATTATAGAGATATACGTAATGAGTTTCAAAGGCTTGAAGATTATGCAACTGTATTAAAGAGATGTAATGTTAATAATGTTGTCATTCTTGAAATAGAAGAAGATGAGCAAGGTGAAACCGGGTTCAAAAGAATGTATATGTGTTGTCATGCTATCAAAGAAGGTTTCAAGACTGGATATAGGCTAATTATAGGGTTAGATGGTGCATTCTTGAAGGGTCCTTTAAAAGTGAAAGTTTTGTAAGTTATTGCTAGGGATGAAAATAATCGGATGTATCTCTTCTACTAAACTATTGTGATATGGGAAAATAAGAAAAAATAGATGTGGTCTATCGGTTATTTGATACAAAATGTTAAAATTCCATATGCTAATGGATATATATGGACATTCACAACGGATAAGCGAAAGTTAAATAAATGTGGTTTGTTACTTTTATATTTTAAAGTCAATTAGTTCATTTATTCTAATTAATTGTTCTTTTTTATGATAGAGATTATATTCTGCTTTTCATGATTTAGTTTGTAGAGTAGAACATAAGTGATGTGTCGGACTCATATTTGCAAAATAAAGGAAGGCACATAGTGGAGAAGATGTTGGGAAGTAGTTATGGATATATTTCAAATCAAACACAAGCACCGAACTTAGAAAAAAATCTTAAGCAAATAGGGAATTATAGCAAGATAGTATTAGAACACTTCATCAAAGAGTATTTCCTAAAATGGTGTAAGGCATACTATAAAACTCATGTTAAATCTAATGTAATTGATAATAATTTGTATAAAACCCGGAATGGTTGTATTTTAGAAGCAAGACACAAGAGTTGAATCAAATGGTTGCTCCCTCCATTGATAGGTCTCTATCTTGTTATCTAATCCATGACGCTTCCAATGGTCAAGTAGACTTTTTTCCCCCGTCTTCAATCCTCGCTTTAGACATTTCGGCTTCGACCTTTGAATCTTCCCTTAGTCTCACTTTGTTCAACTAACCACTTCGTGCTTTAACCTTTAAAATCAAAAAAGCTTGCACTCAATCAATCAAAGGTGGGAAGCACTCTTTTAGCAAAAATAGTCATTCTCTTTTCTTTATTCATGCCATTGTAATCTCCATTAATCAATAGATAGCAACATAAAGAAGAGAGAGAAAAGATAAAGAGTAAGAAACACTATTAGAGGATGTTGTCAAAGGGTACTTGTTAGGACAATGTATGTGGTCGAGTTTAAGGGGAACTTTGGGCCTAAGATTTGAGAAAAGATAAAAGAATACAAAGACCTTAGTTCAAAGTTTATGGTGTTGCATAATGATGCTAATGAGTATGAGGCCATTAACATATATAATTATAATGATAAATATATAGTACATATGAAGAAAATATTATGCACATATAGGTTGTATGAGATGATTGGTTTGCCATATCCACATGTTATAGCTATTTGTGTTACTAGTTAATGGAAATTGGATAAATATGTTCTTTTTTTAGTATTCAAAAGATATGTTTATCAATGCATATAAGAAATCAATTGAACCTACCAATGGTAAGAAGTATTGGCCTAAGATACATAAACTAGAGGTCCTAGCCCCTAATATTGCCAAACTTTCTAGTAGAAAAAAGAAGAAAATTTTAGAATCATGAGAATCATCGAATGGAATTAACATGTCTAAGAGAGAAAGGATGACTTATAAAAGTCGCTTCAAGAAAGAACACAACATATTAATATGTCTTGATAATCCTAACAATAAAAAGGTAAATATTTTATAGTTTTATACATATGTTGTGTTTTTTAGTTTTATCCATCCAATAATGTAGCGAAATTGATTAAATTTTATCCATACGATGTTGATGGTGCTTCTAGTTATGAATCTACAACCCTAGACCAACTACTATTGTGGTTG